TGCGGCATGCTTCTCAGTCCGCTCTCTTAAGAGTCAGAAAGTGCAGCAGTCTGATAGCTCCCTTGCCTCAAATTGCCAGTTGTACCCATGACCGCGTCAGTTCAGTCTTGAGCCTGGGAGTAAAATGCACAGGCGCCTCATCTAGCTGAAGATAACTCTTGTGTCCCCAAAAGTTTTCAAACTGACCGACGCTTGCAGGTGTGCCGCAGAATGTTGATGTTGGTGGCTGACTTTGTCAGATTTGTAAGGCTGACAAATCCGCCCCATACACCAGTTGTAAAAAGTTAAACAATTCCAGCAGTACAGCCTGTTTTCTTAAGCCGTCATCCATGGATATTGCCGATCATTTCGGTCCCTCAAATGCCTTTCCACTTTTTTAACCTTTTCTTTTCAATTCCCAGTCTGGAGTTGTCTTCCATTTTTTATTATTGAATTTTTCTGTGAAAGGCCGCCTTGAAAAAGGCGATGCTAGCCACAACGTCACTCTCGTCTTCTGCCATTTAACTCTGTCTCTCAACCGCTCTCACCACTCTGCACACATTCCGATGTTTGGACTACATGAGGCCTACGATCTTTTGTTTTTTCCCGCCCACTTGAAATCAAACCGTGATTGGTCAATTTGCCCGCACTCTCCACACCAAAACACATAGAGCTTGGCCTCCCCGGGAATCGTGAATCCTAACCAATTAATGAGCCACAGCTAACGGCCTTAATAGAGACAGACATTCTGATTTGGATAACATGTTTCAGACATGAACTTCGACAGTAGCTTAACTTTAGAACATAGATGAGAGAAAATTATAAAGTTATTGTATTATAATTAAATGAGATAGAAATGAAAAATAAAAAATATTATTTTTTATTGAATACTTTATTATTATTATTATTATATTTATTTATTATTTATTAAGTGTTAGTGATTTTAAGAAACTTATCCTGTTGGTGAGGAGAGAGCATGTGAAGTAGCAGGTAGCACAGTACAAGAGGATGGGTCAATGATACTACAGTACAAGAGAAGCAGTAGGTGTGTTTGACTGAGAGAGTCCTTAGTTTACGTTATGAGAAAAAGTCTTTGTTGACAGCGTCTGTGGATGTCTGTGATGTTGGTGATCAAAACTCAGTTTATTGTCCATAGTGATGCCAAGGTACCTGAAGCTGTACAATTTCTACCTGTTGGCTGTTTATGGAGATGGGCATGATGGGGTGGAGAGTTATAGGCTGTGTCCAGGTGAGTTCCTTTGTCTTGTGACGTTGAGGAGGAAGGGTGACTGTCTTTACACCATTGGGTGAAGTGGGCAATGGATTGGTGATATGCTGATAACTGATTCGTGTTAGAGAGGAGGCGTGAGTATGGCTGTGTTAATCTGAGTATTTGAATATTTTGTAATGGAGAGGGCTAAGGCATCATTGGTGTACAGAGTGTAGAGATAAGAGTCTTGGACGCAGCTTGCTGGGAAAGCGCTACAGTGTTGACAGTAATGGTGCGTGGATGTGGTGCTTCCCACCCTCACTGCCTGTGTTCTGAGGAAATTATGGATCCAGCGAATGAGGAGTGGTGGCACATGGAGGTGGTGGAGTTTGGTTATCATGGTGTGACGTTGAATTGTGTTGAAGGCAGAGCTAAAGTCTTTGAAAAGTGAGTGCAGAACAGGAGAGAGTTCCAAGGCACAGTTCTTGAGCAGCCTTCCAGTGATCAGGCCCAGGGGCCTTGCCAGTTTTGCACCACCTGAGCTGCTGGCGTTTTCCACTGTGGGGAAGTGTGGCTGCTCGGGGGTGGGTAGCCTCCTGAGCAATCTTTCACACTCAGTGGTGAAGTTCATGTTTTCAAACCTGGCATAAAAGTTGTTTAGGTCTTTGGTGAATGAGCTTTTGACGGTTAATGTCTCTGAGATGTCTTTGCGTTGGAATGCCTGTTGTTTCTCCTTGAGTTTGAGTTTTATTTGGTGGGTCATCCATGGTCTGGAGTTATATCAGGATATTTTCTTACAGTTTTGACTGGGATGGTGGTTGCCATGCAGAACTTGATGTAGTCAGTTATGGCGTCGGTTTTTATATCCAGGTCACCATCAAAAATACTCCAGTCAGTGCATGCAAGGGACCCCTGTAGTTGTGCAGTTGCGTCCTCCGACCACTGTGTGATGGTGTAGGTGGCTGGTTTGTCCCTCTTCAGCAGTTGTTTGTATTGCGGAAGCAGGAAGACAATGTTGTGATCCGCGGCGCCTATTGGGGGCTGCACGCGAGCAGTATAAGCGTTGTTTATGTTCCCATAACACAAGTCCAGCACCTTTTCCCTCCTTGTGGGGATATCCACATATTGTTCGAAGGATGGGAGGACACTGTCCAGCCTGCAGCTATTAAAATCCCCTATAATAAGCATTGGAGCATCTGGGTATTTGCTCAGCATAGTATGGACATTCTGGGCTGCTAGCTCAGCTGCCGTATTGATGTTCACGCCAGGCGGGATATAAACACAGCCGATGACCACCGTGGGAAATTCCAGAGGGAGGTTGTAGGGGCGAAGCCAAAGAGTCAGCATTTAAATGTCAGACCCTATTGTGGATCTTGACTATGCACAAAAAGAGAGAATCATGGGCCTCGCTAAGGGCAGGGGTCCCCTCGTCTTTCAAGGCACACCGGTACATATCTACCCTGACCTGCCGGCGGAGATAATCAAGCTCCGGGCTACTTTCAACGCTGTCAAGGCAAAGCTCCGGGAGGCAACGACTGAATACAGCCTCTACTATCCTGCGGTCCTGGCCATCAACCTAAATGGTGTGCGGCACACCTTCGACTCCCCACAAGCGGCGGAGGAATTCTACCAGTCTAAGATTTCTCCACGACATGGATAATTTCTAATTTCTACGGGATGGGCAATTTCCACTCTCTGAGTGGGTTTCTTTGGCCGCCGGCGGAGGTGTAGATACAGCGGGGAGTGTCGCCAGTGAGGTGTTGCATACCTGGCAGCTGATGGACAATTTTCTTTCGATCACTCTTTATTTTGTTTATGGTGCATATGGACTATTACATCTGCAGTTATGTTTGGCTGATGGACCTATCTCCGACCAGGATCTTGATAATGCTGGAACGGTAACTTCCTCGTCAATCAACACTCAGGATAATGTTATGGACTAACTTTGCCGGCTGACCTACCTGGTAATGTTCACTTGATTACCCATGCTCTTTTTTTCTTTTCTGGTTTACTCTTTGGCACTGAATGCTAATATTTATATATTCACATGTATGCTTTATAGGCAATTAACCTGACTGTCTAAGTACTGAGTGGCCAGCAGTGTTAACTTTATATATTTGTTTATATTGTTCGTAATGATTGAGCTGAAAGGGACGATATATTTATGTCACTTCATGTGTCATTCCACACACAAGGGATGACCATTATTTAGAATATAGTGTGTTGGGAAATGTGGAACAATTATGTCTTATGTTCAAGGGTGTTAAATTTAGGAAACTCAGGCTGATTAGTTCAGCAGAGCAGTGCTGTAGCACTAAGTTAGGTTTGAAACGTGTTTTTTTTTCCACCTTTCATTTGGGGAAAGGTAAGGGAGGGAAGGTGGGGTATAATTTCATGTTTGTATTGTTTCCATGTTTCCATGGCAGTTGTAGCTCTACGTACAATCATGTTTTTTGATGTGGCTTCGTCGGCATATTTGGACCTGAAATTATATGACTAACATGCATACAAGTGGGAAGAGGTTGTTCAGGTTCAGGTTCAAGTTTGGTTCAACTAATCACCTGGAACACCATGGGTATGAACAGTGCTGTCAAAAGGGGCAGGATTTTGGCACATCTTAAAAAATTAAAGGCAGACATAGCATTTCTACAGGAGACCCACCTGAGATCTCAAGACCACGGTGTATCACTCCCGCTTCCAGTTTAAATCCAGGGGAGCAGCGATTTTAATAAGCAAGCATACTCCTTTTATTTTTTCCCGGTCCTCTTCTGATAGCCAAGGTAGGTATGTAATGGTCGAAGGAAAGCTGTACAATGTCCTACTCATTCTAATCTGTATATATGCTCCCAACTTCCATGATGATCAATTTTTCTCATCTTTATGGTCTTCAATTCCTAGTTTAAATTCTCACTGTGTAATTATGGGCGGAGATTTCAATTGTGTTTTAAATCCAAAGCTGGACAGATCTTCCAAAACCTCTCAGCCACGTTCTAGATCAGCAAAATGTATAGTCTT